CCCTGTCTCAAAAAACAAACAAATAAACAAACAAGACAAAAGATAATAGCTATGTACATATCAAGTTGATGGCAAAACTCGGAATTAATTAATTAATTAATTAAATTTTTTAGGAAATTATTTTAAGAGGCCAGCCTTGAGCTCATTATGTAGCCTTGGATGGCCTTGAACTCACTGTGATCCTCCTGCATCAGCCTGTCAAGTGCAAGAGATTATAGGGGGCCACCAAGCTCAGCCCCTGTTTAAAGAAATCTTTATACAAAATAATTTGACAGTAAATTATTGAGGGACATACTGTATGGAAACACAATAAAAAATTCTGAGAAAATAAACTACTTTTGATAATCAAATTTTTAGTAGTATTGATATTATTTATAATTCTGAAACTATTCTATATAGGGTGGATAAAGCAAATAAACAATTATGTTAACATCATAAGGATCCAGGATTTTCAATATAAAATAAATACAAAAATCAAATAAGTTAAGAAAAACTTACTTAGGATAAGAAATATAAGTATATATTTATGATCAATTTAAAATAATACATTTCCTAGAAAAGTCAACCCACTAACATGAGCACTCTCTGTCCTTAGACTATGGTTTCTACATACCATGTCCATTAAAGGACCAGTGCTCCTTTGGGAAGTTTTTCTGTGCCTTCCCCCCAATGGGAGGCTGAAACAAGGGCCTTTCAAAGAGATAACACTACCAGCTGCCTTGGTTGGCTGCCCACCTCTCTCCCTCCCTCCCTCCCTTCTTTCCTCCCTTCCTTCCTTCTTGCTGTCCTTCCTTCCCTCTTCCTCCTTTTACCCTTCCCTCTTTCCCTCTTTCCCTCACCTCCTCTTCCTCTTCTTTCTCCTCCTCCTCCCTCTCTTCCTCCCCCGCCCTCTTCTTCTCTGCTTTACAAAGTCTCGCTTAGTTGCAAAGAGACACAGGTTGGGCTCCAGCTTGCAATCCTCCTCAACCTCTCAGAGGGGTGGGATTACAGGCCTGCACCATGCCTGGCTTCCACGGTTCTTACACATTATCCTATCTTGTGTGATACAGAATATAAATTTGAAAAGTTTGTCAAATCACATGGAAGGAAGTTGCCAAAGACTACTAGGGTTTTATCAAAAGTCACAGCAGCGCTAACTTGAAGAGGCTCCCATTGGCCATGTTGGGATGATTAAGCGTGAAGAGTGATAAGCATTGCGGCATTACCCAGAATACGGTGTTAGTCAGATACGCAGTGAATCCAAGTGTCCCTCCACTTCTTCCTCTCTACTTTCAGTCTCTCACCCCATAGACCTTTTTCAACTCTCCTAGCTGTTTTCTTCTGATAATTTCTCGGTTGTTTTGCTTTGTCTTAGGTGCTGAGGATGTAACACAGGGTTTTGCACATTAGATAAGAGCTCTTCCACTCTGCTGTCCTCTCAGCCCCACTTGTTTTTAAGTACTATATTTATCCTGATATTTCTCCAACCACCAGGGGCCCGGCTCTGCCATGGTGCCTGGTGACCTTGCAGATACCCAAATGGCTTATGAAGGCAGAGAACTGAACTCCAGCTAGTATGAGTCTTGAGGGAAAGGCTGTGACCTCCTAAATGCTAAGAAACCACTTTCTACCCACTTCTGTGTCCCCTGGCAGGGGTGAGACAGTTTTTTACTGTCTTCTGGCCTCTGAGGAGGTAGGGTGCTGGCTCTCTGCCCTACTCTCGCCTTACTTTAGGTAATCAGTTCTTTTTCTTTCTCGGCTTTAAGAATTTTAAAGTTATTCTTAACATTCTCTAGTTTTACCATATGTTTTCTTATTTCTTCTTTCTGGAAAATCCTCAACCATTATCTTTTGGAAAAAAAAATGACTTTTTGTCATCCTTTCCACATTCCCTCAGAATTTTATTATAGGAATCTTGACACTTAAAAAAAATATCACATCTCTCTTATCTTCTGGCGCTGACCTTGGAGACTTCATTTTGATTTTTCAAATCATCAACACCCCATATTCCAGAGTAGAGCTGAAGAATATAAAACTGCTTAGTTAGAGTCTAAAACTGGCTCCTCAGCAATAGAAACCCTACAACTCCTGTTCCAGTCACCGGCTCCTTTTGTTTTAGTGTCATTCTTTTCGGTGTGTGGAAAAGGATCACAGAAAGGGCACATTGGGCTAACATTTTTGCTGTCTGAGTAAGTAATAAACTGTCTAAAAATAAAAGTAGCTCCTTGTATCTTTGCTGGTTGAATCAGTCAGGCTTTCGGCTTGGCCTTGCCTTGAATGCAAGAGCTTGACAGATACTGTTGATTTCCTGAGTGATAAGGTTTTCGTTTGCTTACACTTTGTTCTCCTTCATATTCCCACATAAGTGTGATATGACTTTTAAATTAAATGAATTGTCAGTGTTCATAGTATCATGACTTTATAACTTTGAAGACTATGGCTGAACAATGGTGTTGTATAATTACACTCCCCCCTAGTTTTTCGTTTTTTCTGCAGTTCACAGTTGCCGTAGCTTTTCTTTAGCTTAGCGTTTTAAACAACTATTGCTAATACTTTTAAAGTCTCAATGTGTATCTGTTAAATATCTAGAAAGATTTCACCCCATGGGTCCAAATGTATCCAGGGATCTCTCACTACCCCCCAGTAACCATTTACACTCCTAGGCGCCCCCCTCCCCATCCACTGTCATCTTGGTCCAATTTGGATGGTTTACTCACCACGCCTAGGCTCGAGCGTCATCTTATGATGTCTTTCCCTCAGCCTTCCTCTTGGATGGCTCCTCTGTTTTCTGCAGCGCCTTTGTTCCTTGCTCTTGGCTTAGGCTTTCATTTCACTGAATCATATCTTTTACTATCTTCCCAGGAAAAGGTGTGTGGGAGGTAAATTTTTTAGTTCTTACACATCTGAAAATATCTTCATTCCACGCTTAGCCTTTATCTGGCTCAGTATAGAATTCCAGGATAGAAGTAATTTTCACTCAGAACTTTGGGTGCCCAATGCTACTCTCCTGAGCCTCGTGTACTCCAGTCAAGATTTCTGATGCCACCTGGATGCCTCCCACGAACCTGGCATTCTGAACTTCAAAATATACCATGGCATTTCTCCCCCACCGATTGCATGTCTAGCGGGTACCTTGCTTTTTGCAGTGTTGGGGATCAAACCCAGGGCCTCCAGCCTGGCAGGCAAGGACTCTACCACTGAGCTATATCCTGACCCTAGAAGGGGGTGCTTTTCCTTTCAAGATTTATGTCCTTCACATCTGCGAAATTTTCTTACTTTTTTTGATTATATACAGAATCATCTACTCTTTGTTTTCTCTGGTTTCTGATGTTTAATATAGATGCTGGAACCCCTTGAATTCTAACTCTCTTCTCCCCCAGTTTTTAAATTCTATTTTCTGGAATATTTCTAAACTTTATTTTCCTACTTTTTCGTTGAGTCTTTTGTTTTAGCTACCACATTTTAAAATTTTCAGAGCTCTTTATCATTCTCTGGTTATTCCTTTTTCTAACCATCTTATGTTTTCATAGATGTGCATTTATGAGACTTAAATATATACCTAAGATTTTAGAAATATTTTCTTTTTACATCACCCATTTTCTTTCCTCCTCGCCTTCATCTCCTGTTCTACCTTCCCCTACCTTTTTCTCCTCCTGTGTTTTTCTCTCTTGAATGTGGGCTACTTCTCACAAATTTCTGGTGATGCTCGGCTACCCATCTAATCATATGGAACATGCAGGTATCAAAATGACTGGCAGCTCAGGATGCAGGTGTGAGGATTTGATTGGCTGGCCTTGCACTCAGGGTATTTCACTGGGTAACTATAAAAGGTCAAAACTTAGGGGACATTTCTCTGGGATTAGTAAATTTTTTTCTAGCCAAGAATGCTCCAATCTGGGGACATATGTCCGACAGTTCCTTCCTGGGAAGGGGTTAAGGAAAAAGGCCTTCAGAGGGTCCCACATAGTATGAACAAGTGGATTCATTGTCTGGTTTTCAGCTAGATACCTGCCCTCTGCTGTTGTCAGGACTTCTGAATCTGGGCATGCTCTTTCTCAATTTCAGAGAAACCTCATCTTGTGCAGGGATATAGTTGCTTGGTTATGTGTGAATGGGAGGGGGTCTGGAGTCATCATTTCTCTTTCCACCAGTTCCTTAGGGGTGAACTGCGCTTCACACTCACTTCCTGCAGAAACTGCTGCCTCCAGGGCCCAGCCACTGGGTGCTTGGTGGGGAGAATCTGCTCAGGCCTCACCTCACTAGGCCATTTTGAGTCTTAGGTTTCTCAGCTAATTCTGTTACCACTCTTGCACTCGCTTCCGGTCATCCACACATTTGGTGACCTCTCTTGTCCACTGGTGTCCTCCTCACTTCTATTCCCTCTACATTTGTGGGTCTGACCTTAAAAAAGTGTTGTGGGATCTTCAGAGGGCAAGGTGATAAAGACAACAACGTATTTGTTACCTCTGTCCACTTGAAATACTTTTCTGGATGTCCACTGACAAGAGATGCGCCCGCTCCAGGTACTCCCTGGGTGATTAATTCCCATTTTACCAAAAATCTGTGCCCCAGGGGGTGAACAGGGAGTGTTTGCCTTTGGTGGGAGAGAGGAGAGTATTCTCCACATTCTTCCTCACTGTAGATGAAGTTCTCAGAAGCCACTTTGGCTGCATACAATGAGAGACAGAAGTGCCCCTTCAAGGATATGTTGCGCACCTCTTCACCCAAGGGACGCTGCCACGATTAGGACATGGTCTCTCACCTGTCTGCCATCGCCTGGTTAACCCACATGTGATGGAGACTTGCAAATAAAGCAAAAGGACAGGTAAAACAACCAGAAGAGAGGAAGAAGAATACTGCAGAAATAATGAGGCGTATAGTTGATGGCAGTAATTTACATTTGCAAAAACTTCCACACGCTTGGTCTCATTTACTCATTAAGTATAACGACTCAAAAAAGTATACATTTAGATCACTTAACTATTTTATGGTTTAATTTTTTTTTTTTTTTTTTTTTGTAGGTTCTAGAGTCTGATTCTCACCTGCACTTTGGTTTGGAGAAACTTGTTTTGGTTTCCAAGCAACAATTTGTGCAAGTCCAGGACTGTCTGCGTGGAGAGGGCGCCCTGTGAGTTCTCTGAAAAAGGAGGATTTACGCACAGGTGTAGACAGTGAGTCTCCTTTGCATCAGCTGTGGTGCTGGGGGCTGAGGCAAAGGCGAGGGTACACACAGCGCCCACCCCCAGTGAGTGGATCTAAGAAGAGGGTGCTTGGTGTTGCTGGGTGAATGCGAGGGGAGGAGTCCAGAGGAGACCTTTAGTATGAGCTCTGTCCAGCAGAGGAGGAAGGTGCTGGCTGCCAGCTCTGAAGGTTCAAGTCTAAGATGGGTAGCTCCATGGGTTTGGGCATCTGGAAGGGGGGCCCATCATGGCAGTGGTACATGGCAGAGCAGACTGCTTGCATCATAAGCCAGGAAGCTAAGAGGGGAGGGCAGGGGCCATAATTGCTTTTGAGGGCGCACCCTCTATGACCTAAGGGCCTCCTAGATACACAGCACCTTCCAATAGTACCTACTTGGAGGTCTAAGCCTTTAACATATGGGCCTTTGGGGATGCCATTCATAGTCACACGGTAGCAGGAAGGTAGGCATTTTGTGTAGAGAATATTATAGGCACACACACACAACACACACATGAAGGCACAATGACTAATCTGATAAGCACCACACTTAGTGACATCCCATAGTAGACATGTGAATTCCTCCTGCCCGGCAAGACTTCTGAGTCTCTGGATATCTGCACATGGATTTTCTATGGGGAGCCACTTCTCTGCACCCAGCTTTCAGTCCCCATGATTTGGGTGGGACTGGGTTCAACACCCAAGCCAGGCAGTCCATCAGGGAGCCTCACTCAGAGATAGGCGCATGACCCATGCTGGGCCCAGACAGCTGGCCCTGGGACATTAGCTAGAACTGCTGGAAATGTGTGTTCTTGCTCATCAGGACTGTAAAATCAGTATGTGTGGATGTTCAGTGTCTGTTTGTTTGCTTGCTCATTTGTATACAGTAAGATTTGAAGGAAGTGTCCTAAATGCTGATATCAATTGATTCTGGATAGTATGATAATCGGTGACATTTACGTGTGTTACACATGTACATATTAGTTATATTTTCTGTGAAGTGGTTTATTATATTTATAGTAAAGTAGATGTTGATGCTATATAGTAATGAGGTTTTTTTGGTAGTGCTGGGCATTGAACCCAGCACCTCTTCTATGTTAGGCAAATGCTCTACCACCGAACTAAATCCTCCGCCTGATGTTAACATTATAAATGGTTATTTAAAAGATATTTATAGCCAAATATTGTTACACATGCCCATAATCCCAGCACTCAGGAGGCTGAAGCAGGAGGATTACAAGGCCAGCCTGAGCTACATAGTGAGTTCAAGGCCAGCCTGAACTACAGTAGCAAAGCCCTGTCTCAAAAAAAGAGAGCAGAGGTAGTTATAAAACAGTATAGAGTGTACATTTATGTTTATAGTACTACATAAATAACGTAGGTGTAATTTTTACATTAATACAAAACAAAAGTGCTTTAATCCTCAAAAGCCCATGTCTTCCTTCCCTTGGCTCTGGTCTGGAACCCGGCTCCGTAAGTCTGGCAGGACATGGGTCCGATTCTAGGTACATCCAGTTGCTTGTAACAATTCTTCAAAAAAAAAGTATTTTACCTTTTCAAACCGAAGTATTTAGGAAGAAGAAACAACTGCAGGTAAAACACTGAGCATTGAGGAGCTTGTGCTGGTGTCTTGTGCACTCCTGCAGGCAAGGTGGGCGGGGTAGGGTCTCTGGCTAGGTGGGCAGTGGCAGGGGATCCTGGTTAGGGTGACTGCCCTGTTGCCTAGTTTTGTAGTCTTTTTAGACAGAGCTCAGTGGGTTCTTGGATTAGGCACAGACGCCCAGGTGGCCTGTCAGAAGACTGGAGTACAGGGCCCACCCGCTGCCACCTGTCTTCAAGGCCCTTTAATTAGCACACAGGAACAGCCCTGGTCCAGCCCTTCTCTGCGTCCAGTTCCGGAGTTTTCGAGGGCTCCACTTCGGAAACAGGCCCCTGCCCGAGCTCCCCAGAGCTCAGCTCTGCGGCAACCCCGCGGAGATGCGCTCTCTCCCTCGGTGAGCCACCTGGGACGGTGCGGTCTCCTTTCCAGAAGAGGAAGTTCCCATCCTATCCTTGCACAACCCAATGATCTGTTAAAAGTATTTTCCTACAAGTAAAGGGGATTACTCCCAGAAGAGAGCTGGTTCCACGTCCACAGGAGACAGGAGGGAGGACTTAGAGGCCACATTCTGCACACCCATTCTGTACCTATTGGGAGACCCAAGTCGAAGTCTGGAAAAGGGGCCGGAACTGCCCTGGGGGAGAAGGGAGATCAGTGGACCTGAGATCAACCAGCTGCCTTCCCAGCGCTGGGACCTTGCCCGTCTCAGCCAGAGGCGGGGACGCGGGCCACGTGGCTGCGAGCTGTGGGACCCGCGCACGCCGTGGGGGCCCCTGGGCCGGATGACGCTGCAGGCTCGGTCACCCTCAGCACTGCCCGCTGCGAGGAGGCCGCGATTGCTCCCAGGTGTGGGTTTCCACTCGCTTCTTCCTGCCTTGCATCACCTCCGCCCCCTGGGCGCCCACACCCCATTCCCCCCAGCTTCTCTAGATAACATCTTTTTGTTCTGGGCGATGCCACACCCCTTGGGGGAGGGAATGCGGAAGGCTCCGGAGAAAGGGCTGCCTTTTTGGTGGAGGGGAGCGGGAAGAGGCTGCCCTGTGCGGCCACCTCGGCCTTCCAGGGAGCTGGTTCCCAAGGGCCACCGCCCAGTTCCGGAGGCGTTGGTGGGCGGCGCTTCCTGGCAGAGGCAGTTCTCAGACACTGGGGGTGGGGGATGTGGTGAAGGCCTTTGGCTCGAAATCTTCACTTTGGGGACTCATTAGGGATTTTTCCCCAAGGAATCCTACCCCGAGTCGTTGGGTGTCTTCCCACCAGACTCACAACCAAGCCCCAACTCCTTAGGATGACATCTACATAGATTCTGCAGAACCCTGCCCTGCCCTTCCTTGCCAATCCTCTTTCCAGACCCAGGGAGCTCTGGCCACTGGGAACCACGTGTGAGTTCCCTAACACATACGGCTACTCCGCATATGCCTGGAGTGCTGTCAGCCACTTCTTAAAGAACTCCTGTTCATCCTTCAAAACCTTGCTTAAAAATTAGGCACTTCCTCAGAGCCTTGCTGCACACTCCATGCTCCGTTGTACTCTGTGCTGCAAGGCACGGGGTTCTTTTCTTAGGTTGTCATCCACTAGGGTAATTATTAGGATCTGCATCTTCCTTATAGTTGCTCCTCAGGGCAGAGACTGTGTCATTCACATTTCCCAAGCTCAGTGCCTGTGCAGGGCCAGGCCCTGATAATTCCTCAGGTGCTATTTGTGAATGAACAAACACCACTTCTTCTGGATCTGTGGTACTTCTGAAGGCTTCTGTCACTGTGGATATTCCTGGCTTACACTTACACTGCCTTCTGTCAGCCAAGAGCCATGTGGCTCCTCTGGTGATTTTTTGCGGGGTGGGGTTGGTTTTTCTTTTTTTCCCGTACTGGGAATCGAACTCGCGACCTTGCGCTTGTCAGGCAGGCGCTGTGCTGCTGAGCTAAGTCCCCAGCTCCCTCCTGTGGTGATTTTACATCCTTCTCATTTGTTACTCACATTAGCTCTGTCGTGGCGGCTATTGTGACCAGCATAACACGTAGAGATGAGATGCCAAGGGATTAAGTGTCACGGTCAAGGCAACAACTTGGGTCCCAGCGCTGGGACTTGAACTCGAGTTTTCTGGCTCCCTATCAGCGCTCTTGCGCCTACACCAGAGCTACTTGACAAAGCGTCTGTGAATCAGGAGATTAGCATCACTTAGGAACTTGTTAGAAATGCAGGTCTTTGCCTGGCAAGCGCAAGGTCGTGAGTTCGGTTCCTGGTACCAGAGAAAAAAAAAAAAAAAAAAAAAAAAAAAAAAAAAAAATGTAAAAAAAAAAAAGAAATGCAGGTCTGGGTGCTACCGCAGACCTACGAACTCAAACACTTGGCTAGGGAGCCCAGTGGTCTGTATCTTAACCAGCCCCACAGGTGATTCTGTTACAAATTGGAGTTGGGGAGCCCTGGCCTATACCACAGCTGCTCCCCCGGATGGCCGTCCAGAGCCAGGGGAGGGCGCTCCAAGGCAAACTTTCACCCCTAAAGCCCTAGGGGCAGCCGGGATGGAACCTCCCTGGCAAGATAAAAGGTGAGAAAAATGCATGCACTGAGTGTTAGGAGCCAGAGTTCTAGTCACACCAGTTCTGCAATGACTGGTTGAGTGATTTAGAGCGCATTATTTAATGTTTAACCTTTGGGGGCCTCGGTTTTCTCATCTGTAAAATGAAGATGCTGACTGAATATTCTCACCTCTAGTTTCCCTTTGATTCTGTTATTCCGCTCTTCTTTGGAATAATAGATTGTCTGTGCCAGGACCGGAATAAAGACAGAGTGATCATTTTTAGTGGACTTTCTCCCCCACTAAAATTCTTGTAAATGGATAGCTCTGAATTCCAAATCCTTGGATCAGCTATCTCCCACTTCTTCCTTGGGAGCAGAAAGTGAAAGTAAGCAAGCATTTAAGTTGACTCATATTAGGCAAAAATAGAAATTTTTTTTGATGGTATTGGTTTGGACCTCCTCCACTACTTGGGGCTCCTCCACAGAGATCCTCTCACTGATCCCCTTCCTGTCACCTGCTTCCCCTCTGTGACTTTATCATGGGACGATCGCCCCATTCCTCTGTGAGCTCCCACATGTCCCTGCCCCGCCACATAGGGCTGCTCCCTCACACGCTCTTGCTTACCCGCCAGTCTTTTTGAAGAAGAGTTCGGGGCTGTCGTCCCGGTGGGAACCCCTTGGACACCCTGAAGCCCTTATGTGACACACCATAGACCTGACAGGGCCGACCATTCAGTCAACAACTGGAAAACCTAAAGTCCACTTTGAGCTGAATGGAAGGAAGAGATGATTAAGAAAATTCAAGAAGAGCAGCTGGATTGTAAAAGTAGAGCCCTGAGTCAGAAGATTTTAATCCCCCAGGTTCTGGACATCGGTATGAGACCATGGCTGAGTGCTCAAGAAAACATGGTGAGTCTCAGGAGTGGTGCAAAGAACACATCTCCTTCAGCAGAACTACACACGCCAAGCAGGGTGCGTGCCGGTCCAGTCCCTGTCACACTCAGAGACTCCCTGCACAGCGTGACGGAGTCCAGGAAAAGCCTAAAAATGCAAGATATGCAGTGTCATCTGCAGCCCTTAGATTAAAGCTTACAGAAGGCGGCTCTTAATCAAGGGCCTGGGAAGGGCAGGAGCCAGTAGGGCCTCCTCCTCGGCAGGAGCTCCCTGGGCTGCAGTTCTCTAGTGCAAGGGGTGGGGGTGCCCCTTTGAGTACCAGTGGAGCCGTGCACTAATAGAGAAGCGGGGAGAGAGAAGGAGATAGAGACACGGGGAGAAGGAGAGGGGGAGGGAGAGAGAGAATGAATTTGCACGTGGTTATAGCTTTTTATATACCCTGTACATCAAACACATTGTCAGTAATTTTTTTTTTTTGTCAGTAATTATTGAGCTCAACCTAGTACCCTGGAGTCCTGTCTTACCCGCTTCTGTTGATGTCTGTTTCCTTTGCTCATTCTGAGCCCCTCAAAGTGGGCCTGGTACTTGAGGTCAGACTGGGATCTGCTTTGGCAGCCTTGCAGTTTCCCAGAATCCCAGGGACCTGTAGGCCTGGGGAGGACCTGGGGATAGGCTGGGCTTTGTGAGCTGCCCCAGAATGAGGCCTCCTCTCCCACAGCCTGCCTTCGTCTATCTCAGCCTCAAAGTGGCCCGCTTTCCTTCATTCCCCATAGAAGATTCAGCATATGATCTCAGTGTATTTCAACTTCACTCCCTGGGATCTACTAAGAATACGAGTGCCCAGGCTACATGACTTCATGGACCACTAAGACTCATTTCTTATGGTGACTACTATCCAAGAGTTGGCTGAGTTTTTGGTTCTTTTGCTGTTTATTGCGCAAGGGAGGGGAGATGGGCAGGCTGATGTCTCTAGCTGAATAAGCCACTTTATGGTCCTGGGCCTCAGTTTTATCATCTCTAAAATGGGAATGTTGCTTCAGATGGCCTCTTCTAGCTCTAATGTTATGAGATTCCAGGGCCTATCTTAGCTGAAGCAGAGGACTCAGAGGCCCTGCTGTCACCCCTACACCACCCCCAGGTTGGGGAGAAGGAGTACATAAAGTGGCAGGAGAGTGGGGAGATCTCTGGGCCAGTTGGGTACTTTCCTTCAGGGACCTGAGCTTGAGGACAGCCCGGCTGGAAGGAGCGAGGCAGCCTCCCCCAGACTCCCGCCTCCCCCAGTGGTTGCCTCATGGGCTGTTACTTAACCCTTCTTACCACTTCCTGGGGTGGGGAAGGGAAGGGCAGATGGGCAGCCGCTGATGCAACAGGCGCACCAAAGCTTGTTTTGTGCTTTGAGGACAAAGGCAAGGTCAGAAGGGCTGGGCCAACCCGGGCTGCGGCTCAAGACTCTGCTGAGGCGGAGTTTCAGCTTCCTCTTCTCTCCCTGACTCCTTCTCCTTGGTCCTGAAATGAGGTCACCCCCGAGCCTGGAGCTGCTGGGGTCCCCCATCCGTTTCTTCATGCCTGCTGGGCACCCAGAGGTGGGGCGGCTGTTGGGGGAGTCTGCTTCCCCTCACCCCCGTGCTTCCGAAAGCTCTTCCGGGAGGAAACGGGTCCAGCCAGAAGGGTCAGAGTGTCCCGCCTCCTCTGAGTGGCCAAGTCTCAAGTGTGCCCGGGGCACCACCTGTGTCCACAGCCGTGTGCCCAGTGGAAGTGAGACCCGGGGCAACCTGCTGAGGGTCTGGAGGTCCAGAGTACAGCCGCTCTTCTCATCTTTTTTTTGCACCGGGAATTGAACTTAGGACCTTGCACTTGCCAGTCAGGCTCTTGTGCCACTGAGCTATATCCCCAGTCCCCTCACTTTTAAATTAAAACAATTCTGTGGTGAGGAAAAGAGAAGGTGCATAAAGTCTTTCAGAAAAGGCAAGTTGCTGAATATTACACTCAAGATAGCCTTTTTCTTTTCTTTTTACTGGCACTAGGGATTGAATCCAAGGCTTCGCATTTAGCTATAGCTTCATCCTTTTTTTGTTTTTTGTGTATTTTAAAAAATTTATTTATTTACTTATTTATTCATTTATTTGAGAAAAGGTCTCACTATGTAGTTTAGTCTGGTCTTAAACTCACTGTGTAGCTCAGGCTGGTGGCCTCAAACTTGTGGAGATCTTCCTGTCTCACTTTCCCAAGTGCTGGGATTATAGGTGTGTACCTCCATGCCCAGATCCCTTCTTTATTTAGTTAATTTATTTATTGAAGTAATGGGATTAAACCCAGGACCTTCGGAATGAGCTATAGCCTCAGCCCTTTTTGAAATTTTTTTGAGACAAAGTCTCACTAAATTACTAAGTTGCCCAGACTGGGCTCAAATTTGTGATCTTCCTGCCTCAGCCTCCCAGAATCCTGTGATTATAGGTTTGTGTCATAACAGAGGCTATTTTTATCTCCATTTTACAGATGCAGAAACTGAGACACAGGGGTTGAAGTAATTTGCACAAAAACATAGACACAGTAAGTAATAGAGTCAAGGTATTAACCTATTTCCCTGAAGATTGGAGCCTATTCTCATAAGTACCTGAAAAACCCACAGATACAAATAAAGAATTTTTTTTTGTCTTTTTGAGACCGGGTTTCACTATGCAGCTCAGGCTGGCCTCAAACCTGGAGCGATCCTCCTGCCTCAGCCTCCTGGGTGCTGGGATTACAGGCATGCACCACCACGCCCAGCATGAAATAAAGAATTTAAATGGAATAGAGTCCGTTGAATTACAAAAGGATTCACCAGACTGTTCTGTAAATCCCCAAACATTTCAATAAATAAAAACACATAATTTTATTTTCTGAAGTTCTTTTTTAATGTCTAATTTTAAGGAATATATCTTTAATGTAGCATATATACTTCTGCTGTATGTGGGAAAGCTCACTTCTAAGCCTCTCATGGGAAGCGTTAGTTTTGGAAATGATTAATGATTGACTTATTTTCTTATTGGTATTGGGTAACTAAATTTAGAAAGGAGCTACGGGCAAGGTAGTTTATAATTTAAGTACAAATTTTATAATTACACCCTTGTTCGTATATAGCCACACATAATCAAATTTAATCAAATGGACAAACTGGAAGAGTGTGATTATTGTATTAGTGTGACAGAGCAGGACTGGGGGCTTTCTTCTTGCCTCAGCCATCAACGTGATTTATAGATGTTTTATCTCATTAACCTTTAAGTCGCAGAGTTAATTAGTGATTCTGGAAACTGAAAAATACACCGAAACAATCACGTAGCTCTTTAACTTCACCATGCACCAAATTAAACTGGACCCAATTATTCTGAATCAGAGAAGACATCTTTTGCATGGCTTGGTATCCATTTCACATGGCTGTCTGGATGGAAAATCAAGCTGGATCGGGATTCTGATCTCCTAGCTATATGTCACATTACATCAAGACCATTTGAGCCAGGTGTGGTGGTGCACATCTGTAATCCCAGCGAGGCTAAGGCAGGAGGATAGCTTGCAAGTTCAAGTTCATGGCCAGCCTGGGCTACATAGCAAGGCCCTGTCTCAAAACAAACAAACAAACAAGCAAACAAAAGACCATTTGAATATGTGAAAAGTGGTTGCTTCACAGAGATGGAAATAGATGGAGATGGTTGTGATTATCCCTGTTTGGGTGAAGCCCTGGGACCCTGTGGAGGATGATACCACAGAATAGCATGCCTGCCTTCTGCCTTGAGCGCAGAGATGCTTCTGAGGCCCTGTAGAGCTGGAGACAGCTTTTTGTTTCCTTTGCCCTATTTTCGGCTCTGGGACATACAGGGTGACAAAACTGTGTGGCAGGGACCAAGACCCTGAGGCACAAGGAGACATAGACTTGCTTTTCTTCTCTGGCTTTTATAGGAGGATTATGAGCTGCAGACTCCCACTTCCTGTGGTGAGATGAAAGTGATGGCTAGGATGGAAGTGATAGAACTGTAGGAGGCTGAGTTGATTTGCAGCAGCAAAGATGGAACACTCCTCTCCGGATCAGGAATGGGTTGTGTGCCGCTGTGGAGTGGAGCTTGGATGGGGACAGTGGCCACCTCTTCAAGACACTTAGTAATGGCCTACATTAATTTTAGGGCACTTGGAGTTAGATTTACATTTCTTTTGCCTAGAATACCACACAAAGGTGGACCTCCCTAAGGAAGGAGGAAGGCTCAATTCATTCAGGTCCCATTTCAAATAATTTTCCATGACAGGAAAGTGATTTGGGTGGAAAGACATAAAATAATGGCATATAACATGGTTTTCTGAACTGTTATGGCTTAGAACAGAACTATGAAGCGTAGGGAGTAGAAGGGAGAGGCTGCGGGCTACAGTAGTAGCAGGTGGGGGCCTTTCACCACTTCTGAACTTTAGGGTGAAGCTGAGTTGTCTTTTGGGGTGATCCCACATGAAAAGCAAACCCCCATGCTGGAGTGAGAGAACACTAAAGTTTAATTTTTTTCTTGATTCAGTTTGAAAATGGACTAGGTTGTTAATGTACAGAAGAATTTTTGGGCAGTTCTTGCTCCGTAAGTGTCAAACTGCTGTTCTAACGTCTGTTGATGTGTCTCCAGCTACGTGACTCAGCCCTGGCCTCGTGGACCCTCCACAGGCTCTCCCTCCCTCAGGGGTGCAGGTGTGTCCCTGCTCGGGTGGAGGCCAGGAAACTAACCACAGTCTCCTGGCTATGAGACCAGGCTCCTGCCTTGGAGGCAGAACAGGGTGGAACCCTGGCAGGCAAGATCCCAAACCGCAGAAGCTCAAGTAAGGTCATCCTTGTGAACATGACAACTCTGTGTCTCTCTAGGTCAACAAAATGAAACACAGACCCAGTGGAAAGTGGCTTCAAGGACTGAGAATCTGCATGGCCACGGCAACTTGCCACTGATGATTCTAGAGGAATGGAGAGTCAGCCTTTCTTCTTTGCAAGCCAGGGAAGGTGCTTGGATACATTCATATGGGTCTACGGCAGGAAAGTCGAGTGCAAGACATTTAAATCAGGTGTCCAAGAGCCAATGAGCATCGTGTCGGATTTCTTGTTGCCCATTCACACGCGCCTGGCAACTTGGGGGACACACACTGGGCAGGAGCCATCTTTCAAAGCCCTGGGGAAAGCCACAGAGATATTCTCAGGATTGTCCCTCTGTGGGACTAAACTTTCTGAGACAGTTAAAATGAGGCTGAGGATCAGGTCAGTGGAGAGAAACACATAATGAAAACTGATAGTCCCTTTTCAGATAGTTATTCTTGGGAAATTTGCCATGGCTGGACCCAGCCCTAGGCAGAGGTAGACAAATCTTTGGGCAGGCACAGTGACTGTTTATTCTGTTCACTGTGGGAATGAGCAAGACAACAGTGTTTTATAAAGCATTCTCTTGCCAGGTGTGGTGGCGTACACCGATAAGCCCAGCACTTAGGAGATGGAGGCAGGAAGATCTCCATAAGAGGCTAGCCTTGGGAAGCTGAGACAGGAGGACCGCAGGTTTGAGGCCAGCATTAGCAATTTAGAGACACCAAATTAACGTGCTAACTGAACAAGGGGGCATTAACCTACAGAGCAGGGAAAGTGTCTCTTGTCCCCAAGGGACCCTCCGGTCAGCCTTTGCGTGGGCTGGGGGTGTCCATGCCTCTCTCCAGATGAGCAGGGAAACAACATGATCTCAAATGCTGCCACTTCAGAACCTTGTCTGTCTCCTAACTCCAGGCTTCTGGCTGCCCACGGCACTAAAGCCTGACCCCCAACTCTGCCCTTCCGATTCTTCCATCACCTGGGCCAAGTCATCCTTTGTAGCTCATCTGCCTTGCTTCTTCCTATACCCTAGCTTCAGCAGGATGCTCAGGGTCCATTTTCTGGATACCTCTGTGCCTTTGCCTGTCTCCTTTCCCCAGCTCTTCCTACTCTGCAGGGTGGAGGAGACAGAATGGCTTAAGGCAGGATTTCTTGGTACAGAAGGTGCCCGGTTCATTTTTGGCAAATGTGTGTGTGAGATGGCATCCAGGTTAGGAGCTCCTACTTAGGGAGCAGGGGAAATATACAGAGATTCAGAAGCTCTCAGATCCTGGTGGGGGTGTGTGGGGTGGTGGGCAGACCAGCGATCCGAGGAGTCCAGGAAAGTCTAGCAGGTTCTTTGAGTGGGGGGTGGGTGAGGGATGGGATGGGTAAGGGTGGGTGAGGTTCAGGAAAGGCTGCTAAAAGGTTCTGATGCCAAGCAGATCCCAGAGTAGAGAGATGGGGCTGAATTAGGATGGCAGCAGATGACTGAGGACATTGGGTGGCATCCCAAGGATACCCACTCATGTACTGAACCCAGCGGTTCCTCCGGCTTTCAGCCTTGCTTCCACAGGAAGTCTTCTCTGTAATACTCAGTTGCTGAGGCAGGGGGCCTAGTTTTGAAAATTCCTGACCTGCCTAGAGATGTCTGAGCTTGTAAATGTACCTACCAGATCTTTGCAGGAGGCCCAAGCTTTTCTCTTGTGGAGAAAAGGGGGGCTCCCTCCCACCACTATACACGTTCCTAGGCCTTTGACACTGGTCAGGGAGCCAGTATCACTGACCCCACGGACAAGAACTTGGCTGTAGCCCCCGGCCATGAGTGGGGCAGGACACAGGTGTGACAGTGGGCTGGGCAATGGGCAGAGAATGGACACAGCCTCTTGATACCTGGGTTTGAATTCCATTACTAAGTGCTGGGAAACAGTGTCCACCAGCACCACCAGACACTGCGGTGGTGCTCTGACCCAGCATGCACATTCTCTTCTCCCATTCCCCTGGGCTGAGCATCCGGGCTGAACAGTGGCATCTTGTAATCCCTTCAGCGTCCCACTTCCCAAAGAGGGTGCTCCGCCTCTAAGGGCTGCACCTTTTCCCTCTGGGCCACGATTCTGTAATTGTTCTGTACTTTTACAAGGCATAGAGGGTTCATTGTGTAAATCCAGGTGAAAAAACCCAAATCATAAATTACATCTATATTAATAAACATTCTAATTAACACTGGCCGCTACCAATGTGTTACGTGTAAATAACAGGTGGATGCAGCACGAACTAGTGAGACTAGAAAACCGCTGCCTCACGTGCTCTTTAAAAGCGAGCTTAAAGCCAGGTGTGCTGGTGTACATCCGTAATCCCAGCGGTCGAGAGTTTGAAGAAGGAGGATTTCCATGAGTTCAAGGCCAGTCTGTCCTCAAGCTCTTGCCTTCTCTCTGTAGAAACATTCTGAGTGTGCCCAGTGACCTTCAGCCTGCCAAATCCCATCTCGTGCCCGCTATTTTATTTGCCATCTGTCAGCATCATTTTACACCGTTGCCCACTCTCTCCTCTGGGGAACATGATCTTCCCCTGCTGTCCAGGTGTCCACTCTGCATGGTCGGGCAGTGTGGGAGGGGCCCTGTAGGGAAGGCTTGAAACTTTGAACTAGAATCCAGAGCAGTGGGGATAGAAGACAACCTGGGAACCACAGATTCTAGGGTTCTGCGGGCATCCCTTAAGAAGTGCTGTTTTATTTATACGATAAACATCTGAGACACATTTCATTTAAATGAAGACTACCATGTGTTAAAAGAAGGCTTAAACTGGGTACAGTGGGTAGCAGAGCCTGTAATCCCAGCATTTAGGGAGGGTGAAGCCCGAAGATTATAAATTTGAGTCCCACCAAGTGATTTAGTAAGACCTTGTGTCAGAATTTTAAAAAAGGACTGGGATATAGCTCAGTAGTAGTAGAGGATTCCTGGGTTTGAGACCTAGTACCCACTTCACTCCCCCACAGACACACAGAGGCTTTGAACCCATTAATTTAGACTAGTGGCAGTACATGGATTGTGGTTTTGACATATCATTCCCCCCCACCCCCCAAAAGGAACCTGAGTACCTTAGAGAAATAGCTGATTAGAGGTCTAAGCTAGGCGAAGTACAAGGTTAACCTGAAAGAGTTTGTGGCTGGAAGTAAGAAAGAGACCATGTCACGAGAACATTGGCCCCTGAATGGAAGGGGCTCAAAATGGACAAATTTGGGAAAATCTGAGCATCAGAAAGATGACTATGGGATGATTATAGAACAATGGTTATTGGTAAAGAGAAACAATTATTTTACTGTTTTTTAGGAAGAACTATCGTTTTTTTTGAGACAGGGTCTGAGGTAGTTTAGACTTGCCTTAAACTCACTATCTAGCCTAGTTTATACTTAAACCTTCTGGATCTTTCTGTTTGACCTCCTGAGTGCTAGGATTACAGGCATGCACCACCACACACAGTTTGGAAAGCTTTTCTTTACAGAAGAAAGCCAGATAATAAAGAAGCTATGATACACATTAGAAAGTCACCATTGCCAACCCCAAATGTAATTACTGAGCTGGGAAAGGATCATCAATGGATGCTAAAACCATGAAGTGAAATTTTGTTGTGGAACAGGATATTCTCATATACCAAAGTTTCCAGAGAAAACTGAAAAGAGGAATAAAGTATATACCTTTATAGTGGAGAGATCTAGAGCTTATCTAACTTAGCATTAGCAGTGGAGTAATAAAATAGTCTGGCTCTTATTATGCTGCAATATGAAGTTTAGAACATCACTGATGAAATCCTCTTGAAAAAAATGTTTAAAATGGAATCTACTCAAGTCTAGATCTACTTTCCAATTTACAGGAAATACAGGGGCTGCAATAACAAAGCTTGGCGTGATGGTACACACTTGTAATCCCAGCACTTGGGAGGCTGAGGCAGGAGGATCGTCGTGAGTTCGAGACCAGCCTGAGTTACAAAGTGAGCTCAAGGCCAGCCTGAACTGCATAGCGAGACCCTGCCTCAAAAAAATAAAAAGAAACAAAGAAACAAACAAAATGGTATAATAAAACAATCAGGCAAAAAGAAACTAGGTTAGTTTTTCAAATACTTAGTGTTATGAAAAAAATAAATGAGGGCTTTTGTTTTAGATTGGAAAGAAGTTAAAGATCCATGACAACTGATAATATGCGAAGCTTGATTGCATACTTTTTTGAAGAAAGTAGCTATAAAAGATAATTTGAATGTTGACTAGCTGTTAGGAAACTACCCTTTATTGTTTGCTTGTTTTTGAGACAGGGTCTTCGTAGGCCAGGCTAACCTTGACCTTGTAATCCTACTTCAGCCTCCCAAGTGCTGGCATTATAGGCAAGTAAACCATTCTGGATTTTTTTTTTTTTTTTTTTTTTTTTTTAAGGAATAATAGCATTGTAGTTATAACAACCTTATTCCTGAGAGGTGCATGCCAGCGTATATCAGAGTGAAGGGTTTGGTTTTGTAATTTATTATCCAATACAGCTCAATGAGAGAAACCTACTGAATTTTATGCACACATATCAACATATACATGTATCACAGAATAACATCTTGCTGCATTGGGTATATGGTTTGTTCATCATCTTTCAACTTTTTTGTGTTTGACTTTTTTTAATAGGAAATTAGGATTGGGGACATTGTACAAACTCTGGGTGACACCTGGATCTTTGAAAAGATCATGGGTGATTCTCATGCAGAGTCAGGGATAAGAACCCAATGCCTATATTGAGAATGAAATGGAGTCCTAAGAAGTTAAAAGTGACTTTCTAAGGGATACAGTCTATAATTCACGCTCTTTGGCTTTCGGCCTTAGATTGTTTTCTTATAAATCCTCTAAAAGAATTTACCGGGTAAGAAGCCTTATCCTTTGAACATGTGAAACTTTTTCCCCTCCCCTGGAAGATGAACTGCACAAAAAAAGTCTGATAGATAAGGAAGGATTTAGGCACCACAAGGAACTCAGTTGTTGTATGGGAAACGAGCATGAGAATTCTTAGGGGGAGGAAAAGAACCTACAGGTTCTAAAGGGGAAAATTAAAATTTTAAGTAAAAGCCTGCCCAGGATGCTCGCCAAGACCAAGAGGACATGTCCGGCAGGCCCGATCACAGAACCTTCTCCCTTTGTGTAAATCCCTGTCTTTGCTGCCTTTGTAACTGATATCCTTGCAATGTAACTTCAAATATAACGGGAAACTTCTTGCTTTGTGAAACTCATGCCTGTTTAACTAATGGCCTTGTAATGTAACTGAGATATGTAGCTCCTTCAGCAACCTATGGTGTCGCCCAACCCTCCAATTATATGTGCCAAATCTGCCTATGTACCTCCCCCACTTGCTTTCCCTTTAAAAGCCCCGAAACCCCGCTGGCGGGCTCTGACTCTTGGAGAAATCCTAGTCAGAAGCCCCCTAACGTAGTAAACGTACTCCTTTTTTTTTTTTTTTTTTTTTTTTTTTTTTTTCTTTGGGCT